GATTCCAGAAACCTCATTAGTTGCTGTCACTTTAATAACTTTTTGAGCAGTTGTCGGTTTAATATTCAGTGTGTGGAAATTGGAGGCAAATTATTTATTACTTCCAGCAAATGTCTTTCATGGTTTTTATTTAATTTCCCCCTCCTCATGCCATCTTTTTTTAATGGATAATGAAATGGCAATCTTTAATTGGATGCTCATAAAGAAAGGAGCAAATGACTACTTTGAAAATAGCTTATAGTGAATTGAAGTGTCAGCTGTATTTCAAAATATTGGAAAACGCTTTCCAGACCAAAGATGAGTAGGATGCGTGGCAGGTGGTCAAGTCCCTCTCCTGTGTTTTTTGTTTAAAGCAATCCATACATGCACAAAGGAAAGAATTGTGTTCATAACTGAGGATTTATCCCTGGCCAATAGCTGTGTTCGCTAAGTTGAACAGTGTTTAACATGAATTTGGCTCACCCCCGATTGGCTTACCACCAATTAGCCTTGGAATCTGCCTACTACTGTGAGCAGGGTCAGGTCCTAGAGCAATTGCAAACTAATCTAGAGGATATGTTTTGAGCATAGGCAGAATGTGGCGCTGCCCTCCATCTTGGTTGGATGACTTCTAGCAATAGTGTTCAGTGCTTTGGATGGGAGTCAGAAGTACATCAGCAGAGCCCTGTTGGATCCAGCTAAGGGCCCATGTAGTCCAGAATCCTGTTCACACGGATACTCAGGCAGCTCCCCATGGAAAACCCATAAACTGGACCTGAATGCAACCACACTCTCTTGCTCATGTTCCTCCGCAGTTGGCATTCAGAGGAATGATGTTTCCAGCACTGGAAGGAATATATGGAGTCTGGAGTCCATCTGAGCATCTGACATAAAGCATTTCTAGGAGAAAATTAACATCAGAGGAGATTTCTTGAGAGACTGTTACTTAGTATTTATTTATTTATGCATTCATTCACTTATATTCTGCAATTAAATTAGTACTAACGACTCTCTAAGTGGATTGCATGTGTTAGGGCATATGTCTACAGTGGACCAGGTTCTTCCTGTGAAGTCTTCAACAGGTTTAAAAAAGAAATGTATATAATTATATCTAATTGCCCTTAAATCAGTAACAAGGAAAAGGACTTAAGAGGTTTTAGTTTCCAGAGAGTTCTGGATGGTTAACATTGGATTGCACCTGATATGAAGAGACAGATATCATCAACATCTCGGCTATGATATCTCCACCATAGAGTCATTCCTCCACTTTCCTCATTTCTGCAGTTTCTTTTAAAGGAGACATTCACTTAATCAGTACTGCTTTGATTAGGATCTGGACCATCATGAAGTTCTGCTTGTAGATTTATGCACTGTTGGCCTGAAAAGCAAAGGACAACTTTTCTCTAGCAATTTCAACTGACTGTTTAGACAAGACTTAAAGGAACACATTCTCCTTTAGGTCTCTCTTGGGTTCATTCTAACTTGAGGAACTCGTCACAGCCATTTCATCGGGGTAATTGAAACCTGATTTTGGCCAGGCATTGCTTAGATTTTGGGCATGTCTCCATCTACAAATTAAGCTTTAAATGAGCAAACAAAACAGAAGGGCAAAACAAGGGGTGGTGTTTTCTGCTTTGCAACTATCAATTCAGCTGCCAGGCAGAATAGCTCTTTCAAAATACTGTGGTTTTTCAGGGTGAGTGGGAGAGAGTTGATTCTTATCTTGCCAGGAGATGATGCATGGGCTCAGATGTGCTCTTAGCAACACCTCGAGAACCCTGTCTATCTGTCTGGAGCCTCTGAGTTACCACTGTACTGAGTTGTAAGGAGTAGGAGAGAGAAGAAATGTAAGAAGCAAGTACAAGTGGTACTGAGGAGTTTCAAAAGACTCAGAAGCTCAGTTAAGGTCAGGGTTGAAACTGAGATAACTTTAAATTGCTGTCTAGATCATGGCATCCGGTCCTATCACTTCCTGGCAAATAGATGGGGAAGAAATGGAGGTAGTGACAGGTTTTATTTTCTTGGGCTCCAAGAACACCACAGATGGCAACTGCAGCCAAGAAAATGAAATTGCTCCTTGGAAGGAAAGCTATGGCAAATCTAGACAGCATACTGAAAAGCAGAGACAACATCTGCCAACAAAAGTGCGTACAGTCAAGGCTATGGTTTTCCCACTTGCAATGTATGGCTGTGAAAGCTGGACCATAAGGAAGGCTGAGCGCCGAAGGATTGAGGCCTTTGAATTGTGGTGCTGGAGGAGACTCCTGAGAGTCCCTTGGACCGCAAGGAGATCAAACTGGTCAGTCCTAGAGGAGACCAACCCTGACTGCTCTTTAGAAGGCCAGATGCTGAAGATGAAACTCAAATACTTTGGCCACCTAATGAGAAGGAAGGACTCCCTGGAGAAGAGCCTAATGCTGGGAACAATTGACGGGAAAAGGAGAAGGGGACGGCAGAGGATGAGGTGGCTGGATGGGGTCACTGGGGCAGTGGAGGAATGTTGTCCATGGGGTCGTGATGGGTTGGGCACGACTTCACAACTAAACAAACAAACTAACAAAAGCAGCTGTTTCCTGTGTTCACCGTTTTACTCTGGTGTAGGCATAGGGCCCCATCTGAATCTGAAAAGCACTCCTGCTCCCCATGTGGTAGAGCTGATTTGAACCGGGGTCCTGCACCTGCTGTAGAGAACTGCAGCTCTGGGGTCCAATGCAGGTCCCCCAGATTAAGCAGGAGCACCTGCTTCCATGTTTCCTCAGCCACCATTCCTTGGTGGCTTCCTGGTGTCCCTGCCATTTTCCTAGCTCCATGCCGAAAGGCTGATACGCAGCCCCATGCCGGAGGCCCAGCTACCTGCAGTAAGAACTTCAAGCAACCATGGGCTGGTTTTTGCATTTTGGTCCCTGCTTTGGCCTCTGCCTCTTCCCGGCACTGGGATTTAGCCTCCAGCAACTTCTCTGAAATCCTGCATGTCCCCTTGAAAGAAGTTCCCTGACCCTGACAGATTCTCTGCTGCTTTCTGCTCTCACTGGTGGAGGAGTCTCAGATCACCTGTTCTTTTTCACCTGTTCCTTTTAACAGAGGCTCAAAACAGAGACTACTTTAAATCTTGTGGATAAAGGGCATCCCCTGCCTCCTAATTCAGCTCTATAGAAACTAGCATGTGAATGAGGGGAGGGGAGGAGAATTTAAGATCAAGACTGGAACCCCTGTCCTTAAGCTAGACCAAAATCAATTAAAAAGGCATTGCTTCTAGGTTCAGTAATTTCCGTCTCGGTACGTGAGATGCACATTCTAGCTGTAAGCACATTGGCCCAGGCTGTAAATACGGAAGTTGGTATAATTCATTGTATTGGACCCCAGTCTCAGACCCCCTAGTCTACCAAGAAAGAGAGAGCCAATTCTGGGTTGGCTCCCATGGGAGCTGGACTGGGGAGACCTGGAGGTGAATCCCCACCTACTAAGATGACCTTGTGGTGGAGCCCGAGGGGGCAGCTTTGGCTGGAAATGTGCAGAAATCTCTGATCTGCCTTTTGCAGTTCAAAGCTGAGTATAAATGGAAACTTGTTGAGTCTTGCCGAAGCCAGGGAGGCCGCGAACTGCTGAGCTATAATCTTTGCCATGTGTTTGGGAATTTCCAGGCTTTTTGAAGAAATGACCAACCACTTTGCTACTAATGTTTCTCTGATGCCTGCCGGTTCTGCACAAAGAGTCTTAGCCATCTGTAATTAGTGGCTTTTATGCTGTGTATATATATGTAGCCAGCGTGGTAATTAGCATGTTTATTGCCAATCCTGACATTTTTATGTACACGAATGAGTACTTTACAGCTATATGTAGTTCTTCGCATCCCAGGATCTTCTAGCTGGACCAAAATCTTTAAACCATTCAGCATCTCTGTGAGAGGTTGAACATTTTTAACCATCCATTTCCCCACTGGCATTAAAACACTTATATTTTCTAATTCAGGGGCCTCTTGTCAGACAGTTATTTTTGTATGTTTTATCACTCCCTGGATAAAATGCTGGTTAGAATTAGTGGTTTTGGCTCTCCGGTGATAGTTACCTCTTTTGGTAAAACTACCTTTTGCAACTTAAACTGGGCAGTTTGGGCTTCTGGCCCCATTGGACTTTGGGCAAAGCAGGGTCAGCTAGTGCTGCTGTTTCTCCTTCTTCAGCCACTCTTCACTTTCCATTGCAAAGGGCTTCAAAGCCCTTATTGGGTCCAGCCCTCATAATGCGTCTGGTATTAATTCCCAACGGATGGCATGAGATTGTGTTGTCCCAGGCCACACAGTTAAATTGGTTGCAGAGTGGGACCTGATCGGGGGGCGGGGGCACATCAGGGGGTACCTGCTGTAGCAAAGCTTTCCAGGTACCATGGGCTATTATTTTTTCCAGGTCTTCAATAGTGTCCCTCTTCCCAAGGGCTGAAGCAGAGCTTATTTTGCATCCAGATCTAGCAGTTGCAACTAACTCTTTCTTCTATCTCTATAGAGTGGTTCGGAGTGGCTTGCTGCTGAATTTTGGCAACAGTCTAGGTTTTGGGGCAGGATGCTGGAGGGACTATGGAAAGGCCCAGGGTGGGATCCTTCCAGACCGCCTGCTAAACATAGAAGGCTGGGGAGACAGAGTCTACCCTGAGATGCTAATTTGGTTTCTGTGTGGAGATCCTGGAGACTCTTTTTCTCCAAAAGGGAGTACTTGACCACACAATCCCCTGTTTATAATCTGGAGGGGTTTTGTTTGGGAACAGCTTTCTCATTGCTTCTTCTGTTCCATGGCTGAGCAGGGATCTGTAGCGTGGCTTCCTTTGCCCAGTAGTAGTTGCGCTGATCCGTTATCTCGAACCCTGCATTGCTCAGCCCCAAGGCCTTGCACTTGAACTGTGCAGAAAATCAGTGACATCTGAAAGACTTGGCCGCTTACTGCATTCCCTGTTCTATTTTAGCTGCATCTGGCTGGACAGCTCAGCAAACATACTATTAAATTTTGTGTGTGTGATTTTTTTGTCTTTTTCAGAACGTTGGAAGTTTATGTCAGTCTGAATCAAGGAGAGGCTCTCATCTCCAGTTCTTTAACCATTACTGCGACAAATTGTGTAAGTACTCACCTGACAAAAGCCAGGAATTCATGTATCAGCTGGGCTCTCCCAGCAGAATGGCGAGGAGCTTGTTAAGGTTCAAAAGGTGCCCGTTTCCCATTGTTCAAAAGTCAGAATAATTTCCCAAAGCCATGCCAGATCTGATGGCCTTCAGCAAGAGATCCAGTGTGCTATAGTCATTGAGACTGTGGGACCAGGACTCGAGAGATCTGGATTCTAGTTCCCAATTAGCCATAGAGCTCCCTGGGTGCCTTTGGACCTGTCACAGACGCTTGGCCGAACCCACCTCACAGGGTGGTTGTTGTGAGGATCAGACTGAGAGGCAGAGAATTATATAAGCCACATTGAGTTCCTTGACAGGAAAAAAGGCAGGATAGAAATAAAATAAATTAATGCCTTGATGCGACTGCCCTCAATCATTCTGTAGACAAAGGTTGATTTGCTGAGAGAATGAAACTGTTTTCCTTATCGAAGCCACTTCACTTCTAGGAATTGGAAGGCAGGAGCAGAACTTATGTGCTTACTGACAGATTCTGCAACAATCAGAAAGTGGAACTGTACAAAATCCCTTGCAAAAGATGTTGTCTTTTGTTCCTGGCCCAAAGAGAGGAATTAACTTGTTGCTTGGGTGGCCCACGGAACACCCTCTGACCTATTCAGAAAACCAATACAGTTACAGGAAAAGCAAAAGGGAGCTTTCTTTTGCTTGCTTCTCTTCCGCATCCGTATTTCTTATGGCTGTATTGTCCATAAGAAACATTCCAAAATCCATATACTGGCCTTTATTACATAGAAACATAGCGAGAAGGGGGCTCCCGGGCCATCTAGTCTGACCCCTGGCTCCAGCTGGCTCTGCTGATGACATGCCTACCATGTGCATGTCTTTCCACCAACAGGCCAGGTGCTCGCCTGCCTCTTCTACTTTGCCAACTTGCTTAACCTCTCAGGTGCTGAAGAGTTCCCTGATCTCAAAAACTTGTACATTCTTTCTGCTCTTTGAATTGGCCTAATCAAGGCATTATAGAGATCTTGGGATCATCAGCCATCTCTCTCTAAAGCCTGTCTTGCAAGGCTTGGGATGAAAAGAGGATCAATTCCATATTGCCATCTGGAGCTCCTCGGTGGAAATATGAGTGGGAACATGAAAGATAAATTTAGGGTGGTTGGCAGTCCGTTTACAAGGCATGTAGTTTCCTTTTCTTTGGCACATGCTAAGTCTTATTTATTAAGTCTTATTTACATATGTAAGGAGCTCTCCTGTAGTTGATAGAAAGCTCCAAAGTCCACTTTCCTTTCGAAGTCCCTTTGAGAAACAGCTTGCTCTTTGAACAACTGCCGGCCTCCATCCACGTCTGTAGAAAAGGGTCTGGAGGTCTGGCCACATGTGGGTTTTGATCAAGATGTTGCTCTTATGAAAGGAGGTTCTAGCTTTCTGCACTGGAAAAAGGCGAGGTTAGATTCTTCAGAAAATGTTCATGTTACAGCAGGAATGAAAGAATGACGAATAATGCAAATTGAATTTATTTTACTCACTAGCATTGAAGCAACAAAGCCCTTTGTTGGCAAAACCAGTAATATCAGTCTGGCTTTGACAGCAGGGTAAACCTAGCAAAACTGGAAAAGTGGTTTAGTTATTCCATTAAAAGTGGCTGTGGTTATTCTCCAATGTCAGCTTTATATTTGCTTCTTTCAACTTTCTGCCCATTGTATTCAACTAAGAATGTGAAGATAAGAACTGGAAAATATGGACGTTCCTACCAATGAATTTTCTTTTTCAAAATATTTGTAAAATGTGTGAATCTCTTATTTACCAGCAGCCTGGTCTTTGGTTAAACCAACTTACTTATTTGGTGTCTCAGCCCTGAATATTATTTTGACAAACAGGAAACATATTTGCAGATTTTTCACTGCAAGAAAAAGTAGCAGATCAAATAACAATGAACAAGCTACATCCTGAATATTGCAGCCACAAAAGGCCTCCATTTTTTAATGTAAAAACAAAGCTTGTGTACTTTCAGACAAGCCGCGTAGAAGCGAATTGGTATGCATGCCAACTCAGAAGTAAGTTAAGTTCAATCAGATTTAACTCAGGACAGTGTGAGTCGATGGAGCCTGGAATGGCCAAGATGCTTGGTTAGCACTTACTAAATATATATGCATGAAGAGGGGCAAATGAATTCAAGCTGTCCATTTATAACGTTCATGGAAGATTTTAAGCATTTCAAGACTGGCATTATGCAAAAATCCCAGATCTCTCGAGTCCTAGTCCCGCCTTCTTACCCACCACACCACTTAGATGCTGATCTTTAACAATTGAAATGAGAGCCAGAGTGGCGAGGTGGCCAGAGTGTTGGCCTGGGACTCGGGAGCCCCGGGTTCTAGTCCCGCTCAGCCATGAAGCTTCCAGGACCAGTCACTGACCTTCCGTGCAACCTACCTCTTTCACTACTTGTACAAATCAGATGGAGAAGAGGAAAAAGTATCATCTAAATAGAACTAATACATAAGATTACCAACAGTAAAAGCGTTAAAAGTGTTAAAAATATATGTTTAAAAAAACTAAGTTAAAAAGATGTATCTTCACAACCCTTCTGAGACCGAGAACGTGGGACCAATGATAGTCCTTGAGGAAGTGTGCCCCATAGTTTGGAGGCAATGCAGAAGAAGGCCTTCTCATGCACACCTGACCAGTGGTTTCCTGCAGGTAACAATGTCTCCAGGTGGCTTCTCCTGGAAATTCCAGTACTTGGACAAGTTCCTAGTGGAGAAAATGGTTGCTTTGCACATTTTTGTTAGCTAATTCTCATTTTCCCCTTGCCCCTTTCCATAGGCAAATGGCATTGCTGCACTTATAGCTATTCTGGTGTTGCTGCTCTTACTGGCTCTTGCTCTGCTCTGGTGGTTCTGGCCCCTGTGCTGCAAACTGGTGAGTCCAAACAAGTCCAAAATTATAGTGTGTCCATCCATCCATCCATTCCTCCGTCCGTCCGTCTCTCTGGGCAGCTGATTTTGGTTTCTTGTTGACTTCTGCCTGATGATAATGTATAACATGGTGCAGGGTGGAGTCAGCTGCCAATTGCCACGCAGCATAACTTTCATTTCGGTCTCCCTTTTCATTAAGGCTCTCCCTTTCATCCCAGCCACATCTGCTTGTATTTGGTTGGGACGTGGAGAAGGAACTTCTTTCTGGCCACGTGTTGGTTGCAGATCTCCCTTTTCAGGGATGGCTGCTCTTTTGTAGGACCATATGACATTTAAACCCAAGCCAGTTGAGATGTTCTGATTTCCATGCCGAATCCTACTCTGCCCCACTGAGAAGGCCATTTCCCTGCTGGCCAAACACCGTCTTTTGGCAGGGATGCCCAGAGGAGAGGATCAGAAGATGAACTGAATGCCGGGCCAGGTGTGTTCAGCAGGTGACAGATTGTGTGAGCCTTGCTTACAAAAACAGGCAGAGTTTTGGCTAGGACCATGCAGGTGCCACTGCTGGGGGGTGGTGTGAAGAGTGAGAGGCCTGACTCAGGCGCCCTTGCTGCATGTACTTGTGGGTGACTCTCATGCCTTCTTGTGCAGAGGAGTGCAAATTGAGTGGAAGCTGGCTGAGATGGCCTCAGAGTGCCTCAGTTTTCCTGCACCTAATTCTGGCCTCTTAGGGTAAGATTATTTATTCCTAAAATTGACCCAGGGCACTCCTGTCCAGACAACATATGCAGGACAGCTTGCAGCAAACAATAAAAATACCCTAACCTATAAGAAACACTTAGCGCAACAGCTGAGTGCAGAGATAAATCCTGGGCAGAATCGATTTGGTAACTTAATAAAGGACTAAGAAGAACAGGGAAAGGTCTGAGGGTCTCTGTTCTTAAAGCACCGCTGTAGTGTTTTCCAGAAAGGATTGGGAAGTATGAAGGACTTGGCAAGTTGCGTTACTGGTTATGGTACTGATAATTAAAATGTAAAATGATGCGATTGGACCAGCACAACAAGGTGGGATTCATCCATTCATTTTGTCTTAGCCATTTATTTAAAACAGGTGGGAGAGTTGCCCTGTGGGACTTCCCAGTCCTGCTTGTGACCGGCTCTCCCCATGCAGCAATCAGGGTTTTGTGGCGCCTCCCCTGGTACCCTTGGAAGCGTTGTAAAAGCCTAAAATCACCAGATGGGGAGGGGCATAGGAGTGGGTGGCTTGTTGCCCAGGATGGGAAGAGCTAGACCTCCCCTTCACGTGTTGTGACCTCTCCTTGAGAGGTCATTAAAAGGCCACCAAAGGTTCCTCGTCCTGGTCTAAAGTGGAAAACTTTCAAGGCAGCCCACAAGGATTGGAAGAGATATTTATTTATTCAACTATTATTCTGCAGTTAATTATTCCCAAGGACTCTCTAAGTGGATTAGAAAGTGGATTATAACAACAGAAAAATAGAAATAATAGAACAGCCTATAAAAATTACGACAAAGGCCTCAGTTGAGTAGCAGCGATGCATCCCTCTGCCAACTTTCTAGTGGCAGATCAGTGGGAGCAGTGAAGGTTAAACTACAGGTAGCATTTAAACGCAGAAGTATTCTTTCATTAAGGCAGTTCGCAAATGAATAGCTCCAAGCATGACCAAGTAAAGGCATTGTGCAGCCCTTCTATCGTTTCCTCATTAATGGATTTCTTTTTCCGATGAGAAAAAGATGGAAGCAGCCGTTAGAAAATGCAGGAGGGCTACAAACTGGACACCTCCATCCACATTTTTAAAAAATCCGTGAATCAGGCAGGCAACTGCATAAATCAAAATTCCTCTCGAGAAGGACAATTCATGCCCCAAATCAGTGGGAGCTCACCCTTCTCCCCAGTGTGCCCAGTCAACCTGCAGCTCGTTTTCAGAATTTCAGCATGGGCAATTTTAGGAAATTCTATTGTAGATTTGCTCTGTGCAAATGGATCGAGAATGCTTTGTCATAGCTCTGCCGGGCAGCAACGGAGGCTGAAGTCTTGCTTTTTCCCTTTAAAATTGAAATTTTATTCCACCCCTTCCTTTAAGGAGCACAGAGCCGTGTAAAAGTCCCCTGCCCCATTTTTATCCTCAAAGCAACCCCGTGAGACTGGCCAAGATTATCCAGTGAAGCGTGCTGGGAATCTGAACTCTGCTTTGCCAGGTTTTAGTACAACACTGGTTGCTACGGCAGACTGGTCCTTTATGCCTTGTGTACGCTTAAAAACTCCCTTGTGATTATTACTTGGTCCAGTATTGAAACATCGACAGGGCAGGACTGTGCGAGATTTGCGTTGTGCTTCCCTTTTTCAGCCTGAGCCTCGCAAGTGAATTTGCATCCACGTACACAACTGCCTGTTTGTGTGAATGTTTTTATAAGGGAAGCCACGGTCTGTAAGCCACAGATTTCCTGGGTGCAATACCTAGTGAATGTGATGGCCTGTCTTGCAGGAGCGTTGTAAAGCATTATCCAGGCTATTTGCCTGAAGCACTTGAGACACAGCAAAATGCTGTATTTTATTTCAAATTATTGAAATATCTTCGATCGTCCTACAATCTTTTTCTTGCTCCTGTGACTTGTCAGAGGCTTGTCAAATCATATACCTCACAAATAATATTCTTTCTATCTCAGTAAGTGGAATGGTTTTGTTTAGGGAGCTGCTTTCATTATCTTCTATCTGTTTAAAAAAATCTAAAGACAAACAGGCAGAAAGGAAGGAAAGGAAGGGAAATGATACTTCAGGGTTTGGAAAAAAAATAAAATTAGCATAGAAAGGGAAGTATCTCCCCCACCCCACCCGCCCCATCATTCAGCCCTTCCTTTTTGGCAGCAACCAGTTGGCGTCTAGTGTGTCAAATGAATTGGGCATGCTGTTTAATTGTTGGCAGGAGCCAGTTGGTAAATCTTTTTTACTTGATCTACAGTCCATGCACATCACCAGGTTGTTAGTTTTTAGGTTTCTCCCCCCACCTCTCTTCTTTAAACAGTTCACTGTTGACAGTTCTTTCGCTCTTTTCTGAATGTTAGAACATAAGCCTGCATCAAACCCATTCTGGTGCTGACATTTCTTAATGCCCACCTCGTTGGAACATTATAATGAAAAGTGTTAATGAGCAGATCAAAAGGACTGTTGCCTGAAGCAACTTGCTTTTTAAGAAAAATGAGAAATTGATTTTTTTTATATCTTTGAGAAAAGAAATCGGCTTTCCTCCAAAATCTAATCTTATTATTTAAAAAAAAAATACTTTGTTTGCGGCAAAGCAAATGCCAAGGAGCCCATTCCTGACAATGATGATAATAAAAAATCAAACCAAATAAAATTGGAGAAGACTCAAACTCTGCATATGGTAAACAAAATGGAGATTTACTCTCCTGGGCTCTTGGGACAGCATTTAAAAAATCTGAATTAAACAGAAATGCTGGCTGCCTTGCAATATTATGTCTTTTAACATCTGCAAGTTCTCAGGCTGTCGAAGTTATGTACACTGTTCCCCCCCGCCCGCCCCCAAAAGATAAGGAGGTCCCGCATTTCTCTTTATTTTTGAAGATGAGAGCGATCCAAATAACTAACTTGTCCCCTTATGTTTGTGTGTGTGTTCCCGGTGCGTGAGATAAGTGCAGCACTCTACCTGAGACAGGTAAACTGGCCAGTGGCACTTCCTGGCCTTCTCCTGCCAGTGCTCAGCCAGTCTGGGCAGAGCGACACCTGCATGGGAGGCCGCCAAGGACTCCTTCCGAAAGCGCACTGGGCCGCCCTTCAGAAGAGAGGTCCAACTTTTTGGCTTCAGAGCTCAGGGCCAAGCAGCCATGTGTGCATGTGTGCGCACACTCATGTACACATATGCGCTGGCACATACAAACAGCAGCAGTTCTGATTCAGAGAGCTCTTCTCGTGCTGCTCATAGCAGTGGGGGGAAAGGAGACGGGTATCCGGATGCCTGGGGAAGTGTGGAGGGCCTTCTCTTTGCCAAGTCATTCCCAGACAGATTGCTGAAAAAGTAATTGCTCCAGCCTGCAAGGATCCCTTCGTGGAGGGAATTTGTCCCTGGCAGAAGGGTCATAGTGTCCCTGGGGACCTTCCAGGGCTGCATGCAGCCCCTAAGCTCAGGTTGTGAACCCGCAGTGTGAAGGGAGAAGTCGCCATGATTTTCACGGACGGAATGTACACGCTGTCCGTGTTCCACTGTTGGCATCCGAGCTGATGAAGAGAACATGCAGCACAGTGTGCCTTTTGCTTGCAGAAAGTCCCAGTCCAAACCCTGGATGATAAAAAGGATCAGATTAAAGATGGACCACAGAACAAGTGACCAAGCAGAGAAGACGGCACGGGGCTCCCTGACCAAAGACAGTTTCTTACGCCTATATAAAAGCAGCCATTAAGAGCAAGTTAGAAAGGCAGTCGTGCAAAATTATGCAACTAAAAATGGCAGCAAGAATAACCCTGGAAGTAGAAGTTGCGAACAGAATCAGAGGCAGTCCTTTAAAACACCACAGAAACACAACACACAGCCAATCAGATGTAATTGCCCACAAAATTTACAGGAAAGGGTTGCTTGATGCCTAAAAAATAGCAAAAAGATACCGGGGTTTTTCTTGGTCTGCACCTTCTTTATAGTCCCCTCCATTGCCATATTCTCCTTGGATGCTGCTGCCTCTAAGGTCGGAAGAGGGCCCTTTCCAGATCCTCATTCCCACCAGTTACCCCAGACAGCAGCGCAGTCTTCTCAGATACCATGCAAAGTACCAAGATGTTCCAAATTAAATAAGGTGGCTGGTCCAGAGTGTGACTTACGAGTAGACTAGCCAACTGATAGTTTGCCCCAGTCAGCAGCAGAGAAGAGGAGGACCCTTGCAGCTGTCAAAATTAACAAGAAATCAGAATGATGTTCAGACTGAACGCTGTATCTTTGTTGTCTGTCATCGTTTGTTGCTCGTGCAGAGCCGTGTTCCTTCTGAACAAGAATAACTGCCTTGTAGCAGAAAATTTGCAGCCAGGATATCCGGTGACTGAGTGAGTTGAAATGATCTCTCCTGCCTGTCCTTCATCTTTGGATTTTTTTTTCCTCCTCCAATAGGTCATTAAGGATCCTCCACCACTGAAACCAGCACCTCCGGTAGAGGTACGTTGTGAAACTGCCCAGAAGCTGTATTACTTAGACAAATAAGGAGATGCAAATAAGGAAGGGAGGAGCTGCCACTCATCCTGCCTCCTGACGTTATCATTTGGTACCCTTTCCTGCTTCCTGCCCACAGCAGCAAGGAGTGCAGATTGGAGGCGGGACTGTGGGGCATAACAGGAAGAAATGCAAAACTGTGGTGTCAGCACCTAAATTTCCATTTTTGCTTTATTTGTTGCTGCTTTTAAGTCATAGGCTCAGTGATACTATAAAAGAGAGGCAGATAATGCTCTCCTTCCTGCAGTGTGGCAGGTGCCAACCTCGATAGGGTTTTGGCATGTGTTAAGAACTCATCCATTTACCTAGGCATTTCATGATTTTAATACCTACCTAACCTTTTATTTAAGCCAGATTTTGCATCTAGTAGGCTATTAAACATTTTGCTTTCCTTGTGGTTTTATATTTAATTTTCACTGTTTTAATTAATTTTGTACGCTGGTCATGATGTATGCTATATAGAAATTTAAAATCAATAGAATAAACTCAATTCAGGGGTGCCACTGTCAGTTTTAATGTTGAGTGGGATGCGCATTTGCCTTAACAGGGTGTCTTTTATTGTATTTGGATGAAGGAGCATCTGGGGCTTTGAATTTTAACTTCTTTCTGCTTGGGAATTGGCATATTTGCAACTTGATCAGACCTCCAGGCCCCTAATGCTATTTGGAACTTATATAGGCATATACATCAATTTTGGTCTGCGTGTTCAAATGAATTGCAATAAATAAAGCAAAAATGGATCGTCAGGAGTAATGCAGCATTCCTGTATTCACAGCATACTCCATTTGACAGGTTGGGTCTCCAAAAGTATGCAGGTGAAGTGGCGGTGTGGCTTGAACAGGAATTGGATTGTAATAGACACTTCAAAATGCATTCCGCTACAAATTGATTTTCCGTGCACATAACCAGAATGCTCGGTTTATGTGTTCCGTGGATGAAGGTTCCCATGGAGTGGAGGGATCACTTTCTAATTCAGATGATATCTTATTTACTCATTCCCTCACCCTGCCCTCCAGAAGCAAAGCTTTAAACATTGGAGCATCTTCTGATCTTGCCAAATATCTTGTATGCCTATATTTTTTCTTAAGTGCTCTTTTTGATAAAAGCTTATTTCCAAATTGCAGAAAGTACATGGGTTAGTCGTGCACCTAGTCAGCGGGTTTTAAGGCACCCTAAAACAGAAAGAATGATGGCACAGTTGCCTTGCAGAAGAGGCATAAATCTGGTCCAATGCTAATTCCCTCTCCCCAGAGGTAGATTCTACAGAACTTTAACAGAGCTATCTCTGTCCCCTCACCCAAGATATAGGCCCTAAGGCTGTTTAGAAGTTGCCACAGTCTAGACATGTTGGTGCCAGTCTTTCTGGTTTATTAGGCACTAAATCGAACATTACCTTTAAAAAAAAGTTCCTATCCAGAAGTCTCTGGGTGTGTGTGAGGATCCAGTCTCAGGGTGCATCACTGCAGTGTTCCATGTGCTGCAGTGTTATGGACCGGTCCATGTGAACATCTTGCTGTGTTTGAACTACAGTTGCAGTCATTGCTGTGCATGAGAAAGTCTGTGCATGGAAGAAATAAGCTGCTGACACACAAGATTGCATATGACCAGGCCAAGACCTGACCAAGCCAAATTAGGCTATTTTAAATTCCGCTTGTGGCAGCGTGGACAATTTAGGAACATGTTTAACTGTCCCACTGTAATCCGTGGGATTTAATAGGGTTTAACTATGGCTGGATTATAACCTTTGTCTTTTTCCAGTGTGCCAACAGAGTACTGGTCAGAATTTTTTTTTATCAGTCTCACGGGGCATGAGCAACTGGCCCAAAGTCACCCAGGGAGCTTCATGGATGAGTGGGGACTAGAATCTGGATTTCCCAGGTCCCAACTCTAACCTTGGTATTAAAAGAAATAACAGTTCCATAAAATCCTCACTAAATCCGTGCTGGATTTTTTCCCCAGGAAGAAGAAGATCCTTTGCCTTCGAAGAAATGGCCAACGGTGGATGCTTCGTATTATGGCGGACGAGGAGTTGGAGGGATCAAAAGAATGGAGGTCGGTTGTGTGGATCATTGAGCATTGTGCTATGATGTGAAACCGTGGGACAAGCAGCTCAGGTGGTTCTTTGGAGCAACCATGCACACAGGAAAATGAGTGCCACGTGGTGTGGTGTGAAGCAGTGTGATGGTGGTGTGCAGCAGACACACCTTTGTGTGTCTAGGCTTCGTCATAATGCTGCATTCTGCAGAGCGCTCCAGGCCACGCTCGTGCACAGAAATGTCTTTGTGGCTAACAGCAGATGCAGCTGTTCACAAGTATTACATTGCCATTCGCCCCGTGAATGGCTTGTCCTTGTGAAAGCACACGAAGCCTCCCTCTGTGGTTCTTTTCCTCTAAATGGATGCTCATGGGGCATGACCCCCCCACACACAAAAAAGTTAAACTCGATGGATGCCCATTGCTAAAGAAATTGCATAGCTTCTATCAAGTCGGATAGACCTGATGGAATCTATTGGTCCCAAAAGGCCTGGAGAAAGGTTCTAGGGGTCCTGCCTGTGCTTGCTCCGTCTTGCTCCTGGAGCAAGATAGGGAAAACTTTTTGTTGCTGTCTTTGCATTTTCACTGAGCATATTTGATGGCTTCATTATCATGTACTTGTGGGGAATTGTGGCAGAAGTGTGTGATCTAAATTATTATTGTTGCTACTGTTCTGAGGCAGTGCTGGGTCCAGCGCCACCCTGTCCATCCTCCTTTCTGGTGTTCCATTGAGAATGTAAGTCCGTCTTCCCCAGTCTGGTATGCCCAGATATTTTAGACTGATCACTGTGGGCGTTAACTGGCATGCCTGGGGAGCACCAGTTTGGGGAAGGCTGGCTGTAAAAGGAAAGGGCAGAAAGGTATAAGAGTATAAACGGTATGTAGAAAAGGAGGGAGAGAATTTTTAATTCTTTTGTCCAACATCACATTGCAAGGCTATCTGCTGAAACTTTTCTTGAGACAGACAAAGGAGCGTGCTTATTCAAACAATACTCAGGCAACCTGCAGAACTAACACCTTTCAGCAGGAGCGGGCCACTGGCTTAAATAACCATGTAAGATAGACCTGTGATAAAGAGGGAGGGAGGGAGGGAGCTCTTCCATGATCAAGTTACCTCTGGTGCTGTTGCTAAAAGGTTGGGATGGACAGTTGTCAGCAAGTCCTGCTTTTGGAATTGGTGGTATCTGACTTGCCAGGATGGAAACTGCCTGGACCTTGGTTCAGAACCAGCTGAGTTCCTCTTAGGGCTTAAGATTATTTACACTTGCCTTAACCTTTGAAGGGTAGATACCTACAGGGAGAGTCCAGGTCTCTGTGGGTCAGCTGGGGAACCTCCACAGGCCAGATTAGACCTGTAAACCAGAGGACTACCTACTTCTGCATTAGCAGTTTATAGATTATCTTTGTTTTGACTTCACTAAATTCAGTTTGATCAAAGGCTGTGCATCAACTTGGAACATTGAAGCTAAAGGGCTTTCTTCTTAATTAATTGGAAGCATTCTTCTAAGTTTGCCAGATTGATTGACTACCCCATGATGTCAGCTTTCTAGGAATTCCGGTTTTTATGTATAGAGCAACTTTGACATTTCCTCATAGAGTAGGAGAAGGACTGATTTCATCAGTTTTGCTTGGCCGAAGCTTTGAAAAAGAGGGAAGCCTGTTTCCACAGTCAGATGCAGAGAAAAAGAGAGAGATTGAGAGAACAAGGCTTTTCAAGGCAATTTTTATTTTTAACCTCTGGGGAAAACATTATGCTGTAGCAGAAGTATTCTCATAGTGGCCATCCAAATTCTCTTACAAGGCTGACATTTTCCTAAGAAGCTTGGCTTCTCCCGCAGCTGTTAGACTGCAGTCGTCAAAAACATGATCTAAAAGGCAGGAAACAAATGGCTTAAGCTCAAGCCAGATCTGTAAGATGCAGGACCCCTCACTCGGGATGGGTGTGAGAACGCCTCTGCCCAGCTGCTCAGCAACTGGTGCATCCAGACATGTCACCGCTGGGCAAGGAGGTAGCACACTGCCAGCAAGGATACCAGTGCTGAACCTCTGCTCTTTCTCTTGTGCCTAGCACAAGTTTAATGGAAAGCTAGCATTTCCAAAAGTCTCCTTTCCAGAACAGGCCCTTCTGCCTGGGCCTGAGGTTGCCCCAGACGCCTTTTCGCTGGTGTCTGATTGGTTTTGGAACTGCTCGTTTCCTGCTGTGCTAAGGTTGGATGCTGCCCAAGGGCGACATTGGATTCAGCCATGGCCAAACACAAGGCTGCCTTAATAATGGCTTCTCCCTTTTTTAAAGGTTCGTTGGGGTGATAAAGGATCGACTGAAGAAGGTGCCCGGCTAGAGAAAGCCAAAAATGCAGTGGTAAAAATCCCAGAGGAACCCGAAGAGCCTTTCCAAACTAGACCGCCAAGACCTAAGCCTACCTCAGTGCCTGTTCAGGAAAAGTGGTACACGCCTATTAAGGTACTGATTAAACATCTTCTCGTTGATCGGCTGTGCAGTTGTATCGTGCAGCAAATTGCAGATTAAAGAAGTTGGGCAACGATACTTCCCACGGTTGCCCACTGGGCAAAGACATTTGAGCGACAGCCTGAGCAGGAGAAGGGGCCCCTGCATACTGCTGGGTGTACCTAGCGAGGAGCACCGACTCTGGAGCTGGGGTCGCCATCAGATTGGCCCTGTGCCGTCAGGACCCTAAGATCAGCCTCAGTGGTTCTTCTTTGAGAGCCTTTGCTAAAGAAGGCGAGGCTGGTGGCTGCAGAGAAGAGGACCTTTCCCGTGGTGGCGGCAGCTTCCTGGAGAGGCACAACTGCCACCTATGTTGTGTTCTTCCTGCCGCAACACACCTATGTTGTGTTTTTCCTGAAGAGCTTCCTGATTTCCCAGGCATCCTAGGCTTTCAGTTTCTATTTTAAATGTGTTGCCGTATCTTAATCTTTGTATTGCTGCTGATCTTTGGTTTTTACTTCCATTTTATATGGTAGTTTGAAATGTGTGTAGTGCATCCTATGATGCATTTTATGGTTTTAGTGGTTGTCAACCTCTTTAGATATTGTATGGCAGATAAATGAGGTAGGTAGAGTGCAGGCCACAGAGGTTCAACTCTTGGGCTGTTTTGATCATTTCCTCACAGCCCAGCCTAGCCCAGGGAGTATGGAAGCCTTTCCAAACGCTGTCCTCCAGTACAGCTCCTAGCATTTCTGACCAGTTGGCCATGCAGGGTGGGCTGATAGGAATTCTGGGCATGAGAATGTAGAGAGCACAGTCACGGGTTGTATCCAAAGTTAGTATTTCTTACAGTAGACTCTCTGCAATAAATGGATCCAACTTTGGATATGGTCCATTGGATGTAGGCCTGCATCAGGACCAGACTCCTCGGGGGTCTGATGCAGGTGTCAGAACACCTAGGAAAGGGCAGCAATTAGAAGGGACATTTTAAGAAAGAGCAAGTCCAAGGGTGAGTGCAAGTCTTGCGTGTTGTGGTGAAACTGGGACGGAGGCGGTGGGGGAGACACAATCGTACTCACCCCAAAGCTTCAGCATCCCATCCACCCAGAAAGGAGGAGCCTTGCCAACATACCCTTCCAGCTGCTGCCTCCCCGTAATTTCAAAAGGCTCGGCGTTATTGGGCCTTTCCTATAAACCATCTCTGAAAGGGGGCGTGCAAGTCATTCTTGTTGAATCAAGGGATGAAAGAAACGATCTGGCAGTAAGTTGTCCAGCCAAGGAGGGAAGATGTGACTGCTTTAAATAGCAGACGCTATTAGAAGACGCCTCTCAGAAGAGTCAGCCTTGGAGAACCATCAGTTCATCACCTGTGTTGATGAGTCGAACTTCAGCAAACCAGAGGAGGGTTGAGGAAGTCTTTAGAAGAGACCAAAAGGGCACTTAATCTTTATTTGATCATCACATGTGTGAGATAAAAGCCTTTAAACTTAAAATACTAAAAAAGCCGAACTTAGAATTTCCCACTCATTTAACACATTGTTAAGAACCATTTACTTAATCACACATCGCTGGCTCAATGTGTTCCCATTAAGCAGAATTTATGCCTAATAGCATCCCATTTAAGGAGCGCTCATTGTCCCATGGTGCCGTTTGGCTGAAGATGATCCCTGAGACATACCCAAGGACAGCGAGTGATGCTGAGAAGGACTGTCTGTCGTGGAGGCCAGCTAATCAGAAGTCTTCTCGGCTTCCTCTTTGCAGGGTCGGCTCGATGCGCTGTGGGCTTTGCTGAGACGGCAGTATGACAGAGTGTCTTTGATGCGACCGCAGCAAGGAGATGAGGTTTGTGAGCATGCGCCTAATACTGAACTGCTATCCTCCCGAGTGGTCTGGTTAGCACAGGGAAGCATGTGGAGTTCACAGGTCCAGTTTAGGGGCCTGCTTACACTTCCTTGCTCTACTTCCCAAACCATTTGGAACTCCTTCCTTCTCACTCCCAAAGCATTGCTGATTCCATGCCAAGTAGAGCAGGAAAAGCTAAACATGGGTCTTAGGCAGCACCCTGGCCTTCGTTGTGCCCCAAATTGCCACTTCTGCAAAAATGAGTCCATCTTCCCCAAAACCTTTATCTTTAATTAGCTACTTACCAAGCTGCTCCACCAGAAACAAAAGCATTTTATACAGTTTACACATTTTATTTATTTTTATTAAATAAGGGAATTTCCTGCAGGGATTGGGAGAGAAGATTCAAAGATGCTTTACTTGAGGACCCAAAGGTTTAACACGTGTCTCATGGATTCTGGTGATGGTGGGCAAGGGAGAATAACAGTGCAGTCCTGTTCGGAAGCAGGTCCCATCGAGGAGATCACTCTGGAGAATCAGTGAAATGATCCGGACCCAGCTATGGGAGGGACCATTCCACAGAACCATTTCTCTTGGAATGTCTGGGCCAGATGTGTGATTGAATCACTGTTGCTTCAAAGCCCCAGTCGGCACGTCTAGACAAAAGTCACATAGATGGGGAAACTAAACCACGGGACCCTGTGTCTGTGCCTTTCCCCCTCACCATATTTCAGTGCAACCCTGCAGACAAGAAAAAAGGAGATTTTGCCCTTCTGCCCATCTTTCAGTGCAAATGCAAGAGAACGCTTGCATTCAATGCTTGATACTGAATGGATTTTTACATAGTACTAGTTGTACTTACAAACTTTTTGTGCCCAAGTAACTCTGGATTATGCATGTGGTTTAATTAATACTGGCTGTTTTCCACATTGCAAGAATGAGATGATTTCTGTACATCTCTTCTATGACAGGAAAAAGTATGTCTGTTCAGAGCACTGTTGTAAAATTAGGCTACTGATACCTGTAAAATCATAGAGAGAGTGAAAGATTGAGATGGGAGAAAGATATACTTCAAATAAGGGTCATTAATTTGACTGTTGGGGTGAGCACTCAAGAGAGCTGACATCTTTGGGGTGTGACTTATGGTGTTGAGAGAGCATTCATGTCTGGAGAAGAACCACATGCGCACGCACACGCACGCACACCCTACCTGTCATGCCAAACAGCAAATGAAATTAAGTAGCTTCTTGTTATCTAGTTCACACTTGCCAAGAACCATCACATTTGAAATTCAAGACCTTGACCAGAAAATTGGAGCTGCGGCATGAAGAACTGGAGGAGAAAATACAATTTCTTCTTCCTTTTTTCTGTGGTTCTTTCCTTACAAACGCCGGATACTAATAGCTGAGAAGCTTTGACTGTGGATGGAACCCCTCGGAGCCATCCGTCGTCAGGCAGCGATCTGTGAGGTGAAAGGAGGCTGGTGCAGGTGTGAGCTAGCAGGTTGTCGTCGACATCTGTTCCAGGCAGAGGCCTAGCTCCACACCAGCCTGCAGCGAGCTTTCTGGATTGTCAGCAGATGTAGCTAAGGGTGGAAGAACCATGTTTTTTGGTCTCACATTTGCCGCCCGAGGGGGGCTGAAGCTCGAAAGGTAGAGTGGGGGGTGGACACAGCTGCGCTCCCAAACACGCCTCAGGCACAAATAGAAGAGATCTAATGTAGTTTGACTCTGTGGTGGTGGAGAGAGGAGGAAAGAGAGCCACTTCAGAGGCAACTTAACGTGGCAACATCTGCCAGCAAGTTTCTAGGGAGTGACGAGGGACAGCAGGTAGAGATCGCCGTCCCCACATAAACAGCCCGCATTAAGCCGTGAACTCTTTTGATGGCCTTCCATCAAACGCACCGGAGTCCTTGGCAGGCGTTTGGGTTTTGTTTTTTCAAAGCGGTGTGTGTAGGGGTGATTTTTATTAATTATTTTTAGTGCACTAACAAGGTAATTTATAAATGATGCATCACCACACACCCTTGCTGTTTGTTTAAAGTCGAGAGAAAAAGTGGTTGTGGGGCTAGAAGAAAGAGCTGGAATACTTTTGGGGTTGTTCTGTAAACAAGCCAATTAATTCTCAGACGTGCTTCTTGAATTTAATTGAGGCTATGTTAACCTTCAGACCACAGCACTACACCAAGGCAGTCGCTGGAGTTTTTGAAAGCTCTTGCAACGGCACCTTGTCGCACTGTTGCGGAAGATGATGTTGGTTGTCGCCCACCCCTGGGCTTCTTTCAGGGCTGTTTTGGGCAGCAATAGACAGAAACTTGGCACAGAGTTCAACATGCTCATTAGCCGCTTTGCTCTTTCTCTAAGCTGGCTCCTGCATTTTGATTCGTGTTCCAATGCAGGCTCATAAAGAGCTACTTAAGCCTTTTCAAGAGCGTTTCTTTTTCTTTGTCTTTTTGGAGTTCTGCTGGAAGTGGGCAGAGTTAACTCACTGCCTTTGCAGGCTTTGGTACGTGGAGAATCAGGGCTGTGTAAAGATTGGGTCAGGGTCCAGGGCCAGGAGCAAGACAAGAGGAACAGAAGCAGCAGAACTTCTGGGGCAAGACAGAGTCCAAAAGCAGGGTCTAATGGCAAGACCAAATCATAGGCATGGTACAGGAACCAGAAGGGCAGAACAAGGATGTGGTCAGGAACAAGGTAAGGGTCAAAAACCAGGAGGGTCATCAGCACTGCAAGTATCTTGGATGGGATAACGGAGCAGGAGACACAGCAAGGGAGACCTCAGGCAAGATGTGGGCATTTGAGCCAGGATAAATGGCAAGGCAGGATGCATGGCAAGATGCAGGAGACACAGCAAGGCTCAGGCAGGGTGCAGGCATGAGAGCTAACAAGAGGACCTGTGCTGCTAAGGCAATATGGAAAGGTAGGATGCACAGCAAGATGTACAAAGGAGCAGGAAAGGGCAGGCCGTGTGCAGGTGAAACAGCAAAGAGGCGGACCCGTGGCACTGAGGCCGGGTCTGGAGGGGAGAGCTCGCTCTTACATTGCTCTGCTCTTCTCCAGGACTCGCAGCTGGCTCTCATCCTGCTGCTGAGAGCTCTGGCAGGGCCTGGGACTGTTCCTGCAAGTGTGGTGGTGGGTGTTCTGGTTCTGGCTACCAGAGCAGCCCAGATCCTGACAGGCTGGCTCTTGCAGGAGTCCAAGTAGGAAAGGCAGGTTGGTGGTTGCTGCGCATGTGGCAGACTGGACGCACTGGCAGAGCCTGTTGGCATTAAGCAAGCCCCAGGAGCAGCTTGTCTTCTGCCTCTGGAACGCTGCTTTCTGCTTCGGCAAAGCACAGCTGAGGATAAGGAGGCAGAGTTAAGAAAAAGCAACTTTTCCAACTCCTTGCTTCACAGCCCATATTCAGAGATCAGTTCCTCCAAAGGGTAGCATGCCGATAATAATAAACAAGTCTCTGTTTTGTTATGAGCTTTTGCTGACTGTTGCTTTGATCATAATCGCTGTTCGTCGTTACTGGACGGATACTCGACTGTCTCATGCCAGACTTTGCACAATCATTATTTTGGATGACGTTGGTGATTGTGCCAGCGTAACAGACCTTTCCCCAGCTCTCTTCAGCCTCTGCTTCACCCTCTGAATTTTTTTCCCTTGAGATTGCAAAAACCAGTCATCTAGCAGGATTTTGCAGTCTCTGTTTTGACAGTTGTAGACAGATAGAGCTGTCTGTGGTTGCCAAACATTTTAAAAAATGTTCCCCTTAATTTAGGCAAATACATGTGGGAAAAAATATATTGTTTAACACACAAAATATATGTGTGTTCCTGCACTTACACAACAACAGATGTTCTCAGGTGTGTGGGTGCAGGAATGGGCAGCCTTAGGTGGGCAATGCGCAGAAAGGTGCCTGCTGACAAGTCTGCAGGTAAGTTTATTTTCCCCTGGGGCTACATGTGACAGCTTTCTAAAGGTGAGCTGCCAAGGGTAATGAAAGTCGCAAATGATCTTAGTCATACAGAGGGAGGGGCCACTTCCTTGCTCCCTTCGCAGCAAGGCCTTTGGGTGAGGAAGGGGTAGGATCCAGTGCTGTACGAATGCCCTCACTTTTGCCCTTGTTCGGAAGGTTCTTCCATCTTTGGAACGGGTGAAGCACCTCGTAGATATCTTTGACAGCTATCCAAGGGAATGTTTTTATGCTCCAGAGAACCTTTGGCCTACAGGGCAGCGTAGAAATGGAATCAAAGAAACAAACAAACAAACAGGGAAAGCTCCTGTATTTTAAAATGGAATTTAGAAAGGGGTAGGGATTCAAAATGGGATTTAATCTTGGGGGAATAGGACATTATTTTATTTATTTATTTATTAAAACATTTCTATGCCGCCCCTTGCCAAGGCCTCGGGGCGGCTTACAACATCGAATACAAAATACATTAAAACAAATGAAACAAATGAACATTAAAAACATTAAACATTAAAACAAATGAACCTTTTAATGAAAAAGGTTTGACTAATTTTACAAAGACAAATCATTATTTACAATACTACTTGCTGAAATATCCAGTGGTTCAAAAATTATACGGGTATATATTGAGGTGAACAAACGAACAATTGCCTCAAATGTCTTGTGATTGCAGTGAGTTGTGGAAAGACAAATTGGTCCTCCGTTAGTGCCCCCTGGGAGGACTGGGGGAAGACGGGGACCAGCAACTCGTGTTGAGCCTGATCGTCCATCGGGCTCGTCATCCGTTGCTCTGCCGATGACCCACCCACCATGGCTTATTGCCAAGCAGGGCACTCATTCACAGGGTCTCTGTCAGTCAGAGGGGACTTGATGGCGTGCCACAAGAGCAACAGCTCCGTGCTCGCTGCGACTTCCTCGGCAGTGCAGACCTTTCAGCACGTGCGCGTGGCCGGACATTCATCCCCCGCCTGGGCTGCTGCGTTCTGCACCAGCTGCAGCTTCCATGACATCGTTTCCCTGGCTGTTCTTCATCGCTTTCTGGC